AGCCACTGGCCTAAAGAATCGTACACAAATTCAAACGGCTTTGTAAAGTCTGTGTCTTGCCATCTTTAGCAGTCCCATTTGTGAGTTAATTTCTTTGAACTGGTTCGAACTGACTTGCAAAGCATTTGCAAATCACTTGATCATAAGAGTGAAACATATTGGAACCATAATTTGATACAATCTTTGTAACCTAATTTAAAAAAAAAACTGTTAACCCTCAAATTTTATTTTTGCTAAGGAAGATCTAGAGGTTTTTGCAGTATTTTTAATAAAGATCTTAGGGCATTATTTTCTTTTCCCTACTGTAGGTTTTCATTATTGTGTTCTTCATCAGAGCACACACATGCTAATATAAAAACAATAATTATAAAAAAGCAATTATGCAATAGTAGACCCTTAATTACCACTGCAAACAGAATAAAATTAGCTTTTAAACGTGGGTGTCAAGTCTAAACTAAATAGCTTCCACAGTTTCCTCAGAACGATCACTCAAAGTGACTCTCAAAAAAACTGAATAGCTAAAATGAATAGACTTCCCTATGCTATTTTTCTTCACCACCTTTTAAAACATTCTGTCCCTCTCACTGACATCCTAATACAAAAACAATAACTAAATGAATAAATAATAACAATAATAATAAAACTTGTGCAACAACACATCCTTAATTACCACCGCATAAAATTTAACTAGCTTTAAAAGGCACTGTCAAGTCTAAACTAAATTGTTTTCACAATTTCTCCAAAATGATCGCTCATATTAATTGGTTAATCTTCTTTCAACAGGTTCACTGAATGAACCCCTTTTCAGTACAATCTCTCCTCCCTCACAAAGACACTTACAGATACCTGCTCCCTCAGAGTGAAGGGACAGCAGCTGGGCTGGAGGTCATGCTGTTGAACTCATGGACGTTTATTCTGAGGTTTAATTAAAACGCAGCTTGGTTGGTGGTAACAGAAGTAAATGCAAGCTGTACGCTGGGCTCCGAACGAAATATTTCCCTCACATTCAGCTTCTTTGGCCCAATCCCCTCCTGTAATGAGCAATAATAACAGTCTGAGAGAAGAGTCATCAAATCAGCCTGAAAATAAACAGGCTTTTGAAACCCCACTCTAAAACCCACCCACACACAAACACACACGGCCCTCTGTTCTGAACACAAAAGCTTAAATACCCTTATACAAAAACAATAACTGAAAAAAGAAAAAACAATTATGCAACAGTCTTTAATTACTACTGCAAAACAGCATATCATTAGCTTTAAGGGGGCATCCAGTCCAAACTAAATTGTTTCAACAGAATTTCTTCAAAGCACACGGTGATTAAAAATTCATTGCATTAGGATCTACGGCTGATTTCACTGGCAGGAGTATGTGAGTTTGGAAGTTGCTAAAAATAGCTAGCAGACACTCTCCATTTATAATAAATGGAAAGAGATGCAAACACAAGTGCTTCCTACACACACACACACACAGGTTTGTTTCTGTGAAAAGTGGGGATATCCCATAGGCGTAATGGTTTTTATACTGTACAGACTGTATATTCTATTGCCCTACACCAACCCTACCCCTAAACCTACCCCTCACAGGAAACGTTGTGCTATTTCAGATTTTCAATACACTCCATTCTGTGTGAATTATAAGCGTTTTGAAAAGTGGGGACATGGGGCAATGTCCTGAAAAGTCACCTTCTCCTTGTAATACCTATGTCATACCTTTGTCATTATACAAATGTAGGTCCTCATTTGTCACAAAAACACGCGCACACACACACACAGCGGCTCTTTCCAGGAGCTCTCTTTGGAAAGACACCTAAAGCCACAAATCAGCTTCAATGTTTTTTCAAATATACAGGCCATGAATCACAATTTCAACAAACCAAATTAATGGAATCTGCAGACTTTTTTAGGGGGCAGCATGACTGATTTCATCATTGATAATAAGCAGAAATGTTACTTGAGCAGCAAATCAACACATTAGAATGATTTCGGAAGGATCATGTGACACTGAAGAAAATTCAGCTTTGCCATCACAGGAATAAATTACATTTTACAATTGAAAACAGTTATTCTAAATTTGAATATTTCACAAAATTATTGTTAATAATTTTTTTTAAATCTTACCAAATCCAAACTTTTGGATGGTAGTATATTTATTTAAAAGAAAGTGCTTCCAAACATTCTACGTCTTCATTTTTACAAGCATTTATGTTGAAAAGGAGGCATTTCACCGCATTTCTAAGAGAGCTCTCTTTAACACAGCCAGGCTGCCAGTCACAGAGCCTCGATGACAGCTGCAATAGCTGAAGTAATGACTGTGGCACCGTGTGCATGCCACCAGTGTCAGCGCTACCCACTGGCAGAGACGCAGTCCAGCTGTGCAATATAACCCACTGGAGCACAGACCCGCAATAAACACTAAGCAGAAATATAGAGATACACTCCGCTCTAACAAATTCTGAAGCTTTTATGTGTTTAAATTCAAAACCAACCGGTAATAAACACACTTACCAGACTCAAAAACATCTACTCCGAGCACTTGGCCAGACATTTCAATTCCTGCACAGCAATCACCCTCAACAAGCTCACAGGACATTTAATTGGACTTAGTCTCACGAAAACACACATTTCCAATCTCAATCCAACACCCCAAGATGTAAAACACACACACGCTGAAACTAAACATTCTCAGACTTGTACACAAAATCCAAGCTCAAGGCAACATGATAATAAGCCAATTATTTAGTGCTTCATTTTCAGGCTAATTGCGAGCTTTGAAACTCCTCAGAGCTGAATGTGTCATCAGATCAAGGAAATGCAAACTATACGACAAACTTGCAAAGAATATGAAATATGAATACTTATTTGCAAGAATCTGATATTCAAAGTAGTTATTTTTTCCAAATACGATAAAGACATTACAAAAACAATGAATGGCATTTGTCAAAGTGGAAAAAAGTGTCTTATAGAGCTGATTAGAATATAGAAATATACAGATATTTTCTCCCAAATTAAAATTGCAGCTTGATTAGGGCATCTATATTCAAGAATTTAATATAGTACCAACGTGATGAAAGAACAAAAGAACTAATAATTGTACTATTATTTCCACCACCACATCATCATCGCTATTGTCGCTGTTCTGTTGTGTAGATGGTAACATATTTCCAATACTAATCAGAGATTATATTCTTAGATTCTTAAGAAAAAATCTCGTTTTGCAATTTCCTTTCAGCAAATGCAAATTTTATGGCAGCTCAGAAGAAAAAACGAGAATACGAACAGGCCCAATAAAGCTATTAGTGGTCACCTTGTCTGCACTGAGAGACACTGTGATTTCCCCTCTCGAATGTTTGATCTTTTCTCATCCATAATCCTTCTGCCGCGTCGTTCTAGAGCCGTGGAGCTGGCAGTGTTGGAGTGAATTTATTTACAGCGTGGTTAGTCTGCAAATGATTGATGTTGCTGCAGCAAACAGTAAACCAATTAGAGGCATGATGTAATGTCATTTTAAAAGGTTTATAATCGCGTTGCTTCTGAACTCGGGCCCCTGATCAGACGTAATAAAGATTTATAGCAGATCAAAGGAGAGGCTAATGCCATTAACAATAGATTATATTCCAGCAGAAATTACATTAACAACTTTTTTTTCCTCCTCTCTGCTAAATATATCCCCTGGATCGCAGATTTGGACGCGGGGCAAAAGTTTGGAGGACTGTGCAGCGTACGGAGCATTAATTACTCTGAATGAGCACAGCTGTCTGACCTGTTATAGTGAGGTTCTACACAGACTGTGAAAGTGTAATAAGTCACCATAACATAAGTGCTTCCTATGTTGCACCCTTGTGGGAAACCAATGCTGCTTGATTTCATATCCATTTGTTGTCACCTTGAGCTTCACTAGTCATAAATATAATCTATTCCTATAACAAAATGAACTTTTTTAGAAACAAAAACTAACTCTATGTCCTAACCGGGTGCAACATGACAAAATAACAAACGATAAACCCAATCTCTTCCATGTTGTGGGCCATTCATACAGACCTTGTTAAGACAGCAGCAATCCCTCCAAACCCTTCCAAGTTACACCAATTTCGTTTTTTACAGTGTGAACCAAGGAAAAAAGTTTCAGTTATGAAATCCGATGTTTTTTTACAAGCCTGATCCACATCCAACAGTAAGTTTGCGTCATTAAAATGCTATTTGAGTATAATTTATATATGACAGTATTTGTACAAATATTATTACAGTATTTGTTCGTATTTTAATTAGCTTTTATTTTTGTTTTTATTTGAATTTTAGTTTATGTACTTTTGTCATTTTTATTTTTAAAATATTTTAATTTAACTTTCATTTATGTTTCTGTCAATTTTATTTGAATAATTTAGCACTTCAACTTATTTCAGTTAGATTTTGATTTTATTTTCATTTATTTAACAACAAAAATTAAAAAATCTATTGAATTGTAATATAACTAATTTATAGTTAATTCAATTTTGGTTTTAAACATTTTAGTACTTCAGCTTATTTCAGTTAGTTGCAAAAATAATAATCTAATTTTCATTTAGTTTTCATCTAATATTTCTATTTTATTTGAATCTCAGCTTTGTTTGAATTAACAAAAACAATTTTAACAGTTTAGTTAACAATAACAACACTGTACTATAACCGATGTGGTAGCTAGCAAAAGTGACTGAAAAGTCTGAAAAGAAATATCAGATCTGGATACATACAATTTTAAGAATGACTGATCTAAAAATATTCCCTGTAGTGTGACAAAGGCCATTTCTTTTCAGTGGGAGCTGCTGATATCCACCGTCATGATCAACAGCAGTCACTGGCAATGCTCTGAATGACTCTGTTTTTACTGCTCATTTTGTTGATGTTGCATTTAGTTAAAACACAGTTTTAGGGACTATTATTTTCATAGTAGACAAAAATACAGGACACGAGTAGATGACAATGGGGGCATCAGCCAATGAGATGTGAGTGGGAGGGGCTTACCAGTGGGGGGCTGGGCCCGGAGGAGGTATGAGTTGGGGGAGATTTGGTCCTCTGGGTGGGGCTCCAGCATGGTGTGGGAGGAGCTGCTGTCCAGCAAGGGCACCTGACACTCCCTTATGTTAGGCGGGGCCGGATGAAGGGGGATGGGTGGAGGAGAAGGAGCAGGGGGCAGGAAGCTGGAGGAGGCGGTGGAGGGAGGGAGGGGACGACCTGAGGAATGGACAGATAAAAGGAGGAGACAAACTTGTTATGATCATGTGACATGACGCAGGGCAGATATCAACATACTAACATGATAGACGTACAACATTTAAACATTCTACAGCAAGCAGATTGCACTGAATTAAGTGACCAATGAACTAATTTATGTGATAATGCACTCATGTGATCAATTGTATTCGAATGACTTCAATGACAATCTCTGAAGTCAATATGAAATGGCTTTTACAACCCATTTTACTTTTGTAGTATTATGTGTTTCCATGTGAAACATGAAATTTAATACAAAAAATGCAGGTCGAGATTTGATTTTATCCATCAGGAATTGACTGGATCATGAAAAGTGTCTGTTTCATACTAGAATGCGTTCAAAATGTGAGTTTGGAGTGGGTTATGGAGGACTACGCCCCTCCTGAAACACCTTGGGAACCCATTTCTGAAGAGGCTTTTTACCCGATACGTGGAGGTTGAAGATTAAGTTCACCCTTGAGAACATTATTATGCATCCCAGTAGTAATACTTCTACAAATGTATAGTAATTTACTGTTATTGCCATAAACGTTATTATATTAACCGGGAAGCTTTTACAAAGGCTCCATTGCTTACAACAGCAGCCTAAACCAACGCATAAGTAGCTATCTGGCTATTGGTTTCTATTAATTATTAATATTAAGCTGTTTCTGAGGCAGTGCAAGTTTTGTCATTTTGATGAATGATTATGAAAACTTTTTTATTTAGAGCAACGTGTACTGATAAAATGTGCTCAGAAACGTGTATTTAAGGAAGTAAATGGTCAATTTAGTAATTTTGATTAAGGATTATGAAAACGTTTTTCTCTTTAGAACAACATGTACTGATAAAATGTTCTCAGAAACATATATTAAGACCGGGTCAATTTTGATTTCACGCCGACCTTAACCATAACAGTCCCCTGTAATGTTCATCTGGCTATTGGTTTCTATTAATTATTAATATTAAGCTGTTTCTGAGGCAGTGCAAGTTTTGTCATTTTGATGAATGATTATGAAAACTTTTTTATTTAGAGCAACGTGTACTGATAAAATGTGCTCAGAAACGTGTATTTAAGGAAGTAAATGGTCAATTTAGTAATTTTGATGAAGGATTATGAAAACGTTTTTCTCTTTAGAACAACATGTACTGATAAAATGTTCTCAGAAACATATATTAAGAAAGTAAACCGGGTCAATTTTGATTTCACGCCGACCTTAACCATAACAGTCCCCTGTGATGTCGCACAATGTGCTCATAAAATAATTCCCATAAAATGAGCTCCAAGGTGTTTCTCATAAAAGCAAGCTATGAGGTCACAAAGTAAATTTACGGCACAAGTTATATGTGCCCATAAATGCATGCAAAATTTACGCGCTCACACCTGTGCATAGAAAGCGTGGGCTGAAAATGACATCATGCTCAGCGTGCATTGACAATATACAAACAAAAGCACCGCGACAGAAGCAAATAGTCAGAGAGTGCTTGGACTGCAGAACAGCAGACAGGAAGTGCTGCGCGCAGCATTTTTTGATCCAGTAAAACTCCACGCTGGGAGCATTGCATGAGCACATTTACACACAAACACAGTCTACTTCATCACTGTAATACAGATGTTTCAGATGTGATTTCCCAAAAGGATCCTGTAATAGAACCATATACATGCGCTATATGACACTAAAGATCCTGCAGTTATGAAGCGCATGTAATTTTTTCACTGCGAGCAAATGCACGAGGGGAGCTGGGCAAAGTCATTGGTTTTAAATGCATTTGAGTTCCTGAGTAATTGCCATGACATCGGAGGTAAAATTGCAAAGGTTTTTTTTTTTTCCTCAAAGAAGCGTGTGCAGTCAGTCCTCATAAAGGCGGAGGAATTAGGAGGCTATTACCTGCCTTAATTACTCCTGCAAAGACAGCACTGAGGGAAAAGACGGCGCTCGCTATAATCTGAGACGACTGAGCGGCGCTCTTTTAAGATTCATATCAGTAAAACTAAAATGACTAAAATGTATTGGCCATCGTTTTAATTGGGATCAAACGAAGACTGTGCACTTTCTGTCTTTTAAGAGTCACTTTAACTTCAAAAAGCCGCATGTTACACAAACAGATTATCACGCACATACACACAGCTTCACTTTCATCTTCCTTTCATCGCATCAACCCCTGACTGCCTGTTAGCAGGAATGGTAGAAAGCGAGAGAGTGAAGAGGTGCTTTTGCAGAAGACCTTGAATGCAGACCGTGTATGAGCACATCTGACTCAACTTCCCTCTTCAACGCTCGTCCTCCTTCTCCCCATGACTCCTTTGTCAGTACAGTATGCGGTCATTCAGGGATATTGAGTCGAGGTTGCTGGCTGTGTCTTGTGTTATTGATTTGGCTCATAGCTGCCCTGTGCCAGAAACACACCTCCACTCACACACTAACTCACAAAAAACAGGGCCCATTGCACTAAGCTTATTTGATAGATTTGTTTTTAGATTTATTTATTTTAGATTTAATTTAAGGTGGTTAGTCCAAGCAATTATTTTGTTACAGTTAAATTTTTATTTGATGTTTTAGATTATTATTAAATATTAAATGAAATATTAATACACTAATAATGAAAATTATTTTGAAACCGTAAAACCTAAATATTATTAAAAACGGAAATATATTTTCAATGTTAGCTATTTCAGTTTACAACATTTAAAATATATATATATATTAGTTCATAATAGTACCTCCTGCTTAAAGTTTTCCTTAACTTTTTCTTTTCTTATGTCTGACCTCATGATCTGTGGAAGAGGGATGCACATAATTTATAAGGAAATATAGCGGTCTGATTGGATTGCTTGTTAAGCAGACCCCAGGGACATGGGGCAAAGGCCCCTTAAATAATAAAGAGAAAGACGAGGAAGGATATGTTTACCGTCAGCATTTCATAAAAGCATCTATGGCATTCGAGTGAATGGGAAGAAAGAAACAACAAGAGAGAGAGATATGGGGAGATATCTTCACTAATGCACAGAGGAGATGAATAAACACTGAAGAGCTCAGCGAATATGCAGATGAAAGAGCGAGAGGTTAAGTGTGCTGCTGGCTGATTAGCTTGACTTCTAAAGAGATGGATGAAGAATTCGACCATAAAAATACAGAACGGCAGAGCTGCACATGGGTATCTAAGGACAGAGGAGCAGGAGGAATTCTGGGAAGTTGTTCTTGTCAAACAGTAGATAGAAGCAGCGTAGATGCACCAATGAGTCATTTTCTCTCAACAGAAACAGAGAATAATATTTGTTAAGTTTCAGTGAATACTGAACAGTTCAGAGGAAAAATGTTTATTGTCGTTGAACTTGTTTTAAACAAGCACATTATATTCATCACACAAAACCATGACACCATTTTCAATGGACCATTGCTTCAATAATGAGAGTATTTATGGCACTGGACAAGAGAAGCCTGTGTGTGTATATGCATGCGTGTGTGTTGGGGGTTATTAAATTTTTAAATCACTTTAATTACAAAAAAAGGAAAAATTGCATTAGGTGGCCAAAAGCAATTATAGGAAACTTAATCTCCTTTGCAATTAGGCTCAGGGGCATTTTTTAACTATTGTAATTTATTTTTGCTACATTTCTATAAAGGTCAGTATAAATTGCTTTGTGTTATTAGAACAAAGGCTTGTTAGAAGGGGGCTGGGGGGGGGGGCACCTGTTCCTCTAGATGATTCTTCTCCTTTGCTGTCCTTCCTAAATTTCCGTTATCTCTCTGGGAGAGGATGTGCTACTGTGGATCTGCTGGCCTGGAACGCTGATTTGACCTTGAACGTCCCCTTGATTCATTTTTTAAATACTATCCCAACCCGGAGACAACTTTTGATTTCCTGAAGAGTATAAACTTTGTGCTACTTTCAAAATATTGCACTGGTAGTTTGAGCCGCTCTACAGCAAAATGCAAACGAAATTTTACACAAACTAAAATAAAACTTTGTAAAAAATAAATTAATAAAACAAAAACCCTATACAAATAAATAAAACTATTAATTAATGAAATAAATAAATAAATAAATACAACTTACACTACAAGTTTGGGATCAGCTAGATTTGTTTTGTTTTATTTATTATAATTTTTTAACATTATCCAGCAAGGATGCATTAAATTGATCAAGAGGGCTCTATAGCAATGTCTGTAGTAAAGATATTTCAGGTTGAATTACTTTTAAAGACATATGTAACAAAACAAATTCTATTCTTTTGAACTTCCAATCTGTCAGAATCCTGAATAAATGTAAGAGAATTTCCACAAAAATATTAATCAGTTCTTAACACTGATGATAATAAGAAATGTTTCTTGAGCCCAGCATATCCTAAAATCAGTACATTAGAATGATTTCTGAAGGATCATGTAACTAAAACAAAACAAAACAAAACAAAACAGAACGAACCCAAAACAAAACAAAGTCATTTAGGTTTGGAATGACATGAGGGTGAGTAAATTATAATGTAAAGTAAAAGTAAGAATTTTCAGTTCTGGTGGACTGTCTCTTTAAGTGTAGAAGTCATTCATATGAAACACATTGAAATCAGTCACTTATGACGGTCTATTTCAGTTTGGATGCTTCCACAGCGTACTATGTAGGCAGCTCACTAGGTTAGGAATAGAGCTGATGTATAGGGAAGGTGACAGGAAGCCGAGGGACAGTGACGTGGATCTCTCGTGTGATCCAGGGCAGGAGGCCATCTTATGCCCGCTTCTGCTAAGATGGCCGCCGCTGGTCCCGCGCCTGTCTCTGCCAGAGAATTTTGAGGGCAGATTGTCTGGATGCTCTGAGATTGGCTCCATTTTCTCATTCTGATGTTGTGTCTTGTCGAACAGGCTGACAGGATCCTAATCTTTACAACCACTAAGCTCAGTCGGGCCTGTCAAAACACTAACGCCCATTTCACACCATCAGCCAATGCTAATGGCAGAGCACGAGTTCAATAATCACGCACACACATA